GACTTCTGTCACACACCAGATATGTGGACTGAAAATGTCAAGAGTTTTTAGGCATCATCTAGAACCAACCTCAGGCTCCAGTTGCTGTTCTGCTAGTCTTTGCATCTGGATTATGAGAGGCAGTCCAACTTTTTTCCAGATCTGGCATCTAAAATTGTGTTTTCCAGATCATGCTTGAAGCAAAGTGTAAATCAAATAAAGCATTTACTTGAATTTAATAATACTGTAGTATGTATTATTTTTTTACAGTGAATAGCAGAAGTTCACTGAAAGTTTGGCTCATATTCTTAGATATGTATGTTTGTATGAAGAACAAAACAAATATTTGAATTACAAAAGCAGCATGCATATGCAGTTTTGCCCAGGTAGTTCTGTCCCACACTGCAAAAAGTAACTGCAGCAACCTTTTCTTGTCTCACAAACAGTTCAAAAGTTCCACTGTAAAATAGATGAGTCAATTTCAGGTCCTACAGATTCTGTTTAAATACAAGGTGGTGTTTCCAGGCACATTCTTAGCTACATAAATGTACATCTGTCACTACCCTGGGCACTACTGGTAATAATGTGCCTTCCAGCAGTCTACTCAAACCTAGCAAACCCCCTCTATTTCTTTTCCTGAGGTAATAGCTTCTGTACACTTGTATAAACATCTGACAGAGAAATAAGGGTGATGTGACAAAACTAACGTCCACATCTTGTCTTCCTTTCAATGTACTGAAGAAGTGCTCTGTTGGTATTCAGCAATAATTTCTTGAGCTTGTCTTTGTATTCAGATATGTTGTTTCAAGAGCTGGGAAAAATGTTACAAGATCATAGGCATTCATGGATTAACTGTGATATTTGTTAGGAAAACAGGGTATTCAGAGGTTTTAATGAGGATTGGTTTATATATCTGTGTTCTACCAGTTTTGGTGAACTGATCGTAATAAAATCCCTGTGACAACAGCAGAAGAGCTCATCATAGCATTGAGGCTGGAGGAAGAGAGCACATGTGTTTCTTTACTTGTCTCTTGCAAATTAGGAATTGTTAGCAAGTAATTACACCTGGTACCTGAATTGGCATGTATTGATACTATATATGAACAGCCTTTTGTAGTACCAATGAGGAGTAAAACTGATTCTAAAATGTGCAGTAATGAGGGTTTGGTTTGAGCAGTAAACAACTTCAAAAGTTGATCTGCCTCTGATTTTAAAGAAGAAAAGAAAAAACCTCAATCCTATCCACAGAAGTGACATTCATTCTGGAAATTCATAGTGAATTCAACACTAAGCTCCATTTAAAACACCTCTTTATTCACAGATCGTCCATCTGTAATTGGTTGTTCTTGATTTCCAAAAGTATATAGTTGTAATTCAACAATGGTAGTCAGCCTATTGCAGTTAATCAAATATAACTTTCTAGATGTTGTATATTGAGGAAAACACTCAGATTCTGTATACTCAGTCCTTGAAAATGGCAAACATCCCATGTGAGGAATGTCTGATAGTATACTACTGAACTATGGGGGTTTTTTTCTTTTATGTATAACAACTCTACTGAGAGGAAGTTGCTAGGTACTTTCTGCATTGGATATAAATCACTTGTTAAGAGCCAGCTTTTAAGTGTGCAGGAGCAGGCAATTCCAAAGTGTCGGAAGTCAAGCAAGTGGAGTGGAAGGCTGGCTTGGCTGAGCAGGTATCTTCTAGAACTTAGGCAGGAAAGGAAAGTGTGTGAACATTGGAAGCAAGGACAGGCAACACGGGAGGACTACAGAGATGCTGTTTGCCACTGTAGTGAGAAAATTTGTGTGGCCAAAACTCAATTACATTTCAAGCTGGCCAGCACTGTCAAGGACGACAAAAAGGAGGGTTTTTCTGAATGTGTTAACAGAATCATAGAATACCAGGTTGGAAGGGACCTCAAAGATCTTCTGGTCCAGCCCTTTCTTGGCAAAACCACAGTCTAGACAAGATGGCCCAGCACCCTGTCCAGCTGAATCTTAAAAGTGTTCGAAGTTGGGGAATTCACCGCTTCCCTGGGGAGATTATTCCAACGGCTGATTGTTCTCATTGTGGAAAACTTTTCTTTTGTGTCCAGTTGGAATCTGCCCAGGAGTAACTTGTACCCATTATTCCTCATCTTTTCCATGTGACTTCTTGTATAAAAAGAGTCTCCATCTTCTTTGTAGCCATCCTTTAAATACTGGAACCTGGTGATAAGGTCTCCCCCAAGCCTTCTTTTCTCAGGGCTGAACAAACCCAGTTCTCTCAGCCTTTCGTCATATGGCAGGCTTCCCAGTCCTTCAGTCATCTTTGTGGCCCTTCCCTGGGCCCTCTCCAGCCTGTCCACATCTTTCTTGTATAGCGGGGGCCAAAACTGAAGACAGTATTCCAGGTGTGGCCTGACAAGTGCTGAGTAGAGTGGGATAATGACTTCTTGATCTCTGCTGGTGATGCCCTCATTGATGCAACCCATTGATGGCTTTCTTTGCCGCAGCAGCACATTGTCCACTCATGTTGAGCTTGCTGTCCACCAGGATACCCAGATCCCTTTCCACAGAGCTGCTCCCCAGCCAGGTAGATCCCAGCCTGTGCTGCACTTCTGGATTATGTTTTTCCAGAAGCAAGGCCTTCCATTTGTCTTTGTTGGTCTTCACGAGGTTCTTGTTAGCCCACTCTTCCAGCCTACCCATGCTCTCTTTTCCAAAGTGTCTGCTTCCCCATTCAGTTTGGTATCATCTGCAAACTTCATTAGGGTACACTTGATCCCGTCATCCAGATCACTTATGAAGATATTAAACAGCGTTGGGCCCAGTTTCGATCCATGGGAGCCCCCAGTTGTGACATGTTGCCAGTTTGAAAAGGAGCTGTTTACCATCACCTTCTGAGTGCAGCCTGTCAGCCAGTTCCCCACCCACTGCAAAGACCACTTGTCTAGACCGTAACGCATCGGTTTCTCTAGGAGGAGGCTGTGGGGAACCGTATCCAAAGCCTTGAAGAAATCCAGGTAGACAATGTCTTGCCCCATATCAGATAAGCAGGTTACTTCGTCGTAGAAGATGATCAGGTTTGTCAAGTGTGATTTGCCCTTGGTGAATCCGTGCTGGCTTTTCCCAATCACATGCTTCATTTGACTTGTGATAGCCCCCAGGAGGATTAGTTCTATAACTTTCCCAGGGACTGAAGTAAGACTGATGGCCCTGTAATTTCCTGGATCCTCCTTTAGGCCCTTCTTGTAGATGGGGGTGACATTAGCCTTCTTCCAATGTTCTGGGATGTCCCCAAATCTCCATGACTTCTCAAAGGTTATGGAGAGTGGCCTCACAAGAATGTCAGCCAGCTCTTTTAATACCCTCAGGTGGATATTTGAGGGTGGTTGGTCACTGGAACAGGCTCCCCAGGGAACTGGTCATGGCACCAAGCCTGTCAGAGTTCAAAAAGGGTCTAGACAAGGCTCTTAATCTTATGGTTTAGTTTTAGGTTGTCCTGTGAGGAGCAGGGAGTTGGACTTGGTGATCCTTATGAGTCTTTCCCAGCTTGAGGTATTTTATGATTCTAATTCTCTCACTCAGGATGAGAATGAGACAAGAGAATAAGCCAACCAGCTGGAGGGTGGCTTTGCAGAAAAGGACCCAGGGGTCCTGGTTTACCTGGTGTGCTGTTGTGGCAAAGGAAGCTAACAGTATCCTGGGCTACATTAGGAAGAGTGTTGCAAGCAAATCCAGAGTGGTGATCCTTCCTGTGTCCTCAGCACACGTGAAGAACTGTGTCCAGTTTTGGGCTCCAGAGTACAACAGAGATGTGGAGCTACTGGAGCAAAAAGTCTGTAAGATAATTAAGGGACTGGAACATTTCTGATATGAGGAAAGGTTGAGAGATATTTTACAGATATCTGAAGGGAGGGTGTAAAGAAGATGGATCAGGCTTTTTTCAGTGTGTCTAGTGACAGAACTAGAGGTAATATGCACAAACTGAAACACAGAAGTTCTGTCTGCACATAAGGAAACAATTTTGACTGAAAGGATAACCAAGCTCTGGCACAGGTTGTCCAGAAGGCTGGTGGAATCTCGCTCCTTGGAGGTCTTCAAAAGCTGCCTGGGCATGGTTCTGGGCAGCCAGCTCTAGGTGACCCTGCTTGAGCAGGGGGACCTGGTAGGGTGATGTCCAGAAGTCCCTTCCAACCTCAACCATTCCATGATACTGTTATGACTAAAAAGTAATGATCCAGTACTCAAAGATGATGTTTCATCTCTTGAGGTGCCTTTACCTTGCAGCAGAGACTATGTCTTTAAATTTATGACAGTGATGCTGCAAAAAGTGAAGGGATGATACTTTCTTGGAGAAGCAATCACTAGGGTTCTCATACGTTACGTGGCCTATGCAGGTAGCATTTTGTAGCAGTCATTGGGATGCAATTCTGGTTTTGCTTCTCATCATGTTGCTTCATGTTAACCTCTACAAAATGAGGATGATGCAGTTGTAGACATGGACTTCTGCTTTGCTCTAGATAGTGTGAGATACCTTATATTTTGCTATGTGGGCCTTTCTGAATACTGTTTTAACCATTATTCAGGTTTTTGCTGGACTGCCATCTGCAATAGGTGTTGCATCTTGTGATTCAGGGAATATGAGGTTTGTCAGTGTGAATTCTTCACAGCTTCTATTAGTACAGTAGAAATGTTCACTGTATGTAGTTATGCAAAATATTAATTTTTATGATATACATTAGAGTTTGTGTGTTCCTTGTAGTCTGTAGCTGATAGCTATTGCACATTATTTTACAAGTGTTTTTACTGAGTTTTTGTAAATTTTTAATAATATTGGCATCTTTTAAGTAGAGAAAGTCTGCGTAAATATTAAATAGTTCCATGATGGAAGGAAGAAAGAGGATAGAAAGGTAGTGTGAGCTTACATAGAAAAAGTGGTAGTTGTATCTCACTCTAGTTAATATCACTATAGTTAATGTGCTCTTAATATTATTCAGAATCTCAAATGAGGTTTGTGGAACTTCTCATGACGGTATGTGCTTGAGGTTTTTCTTCCTCTCTTCCCCTTCATTTAACTCTTCCTCAAAAATAGGAGATTCTGGTGTCTGGGGCTTGAAAAAGAATTTTGCTTTGTTGGAACTCTTGGAACGGTTGCAGAACGGACCTGCTGGGCAGTGTGGGACGGCAGAAGAAGCCATTGGTCTATCTGGAGAGGTACTGAGTTTAAAAAAAAAAAAAAAAGTTTTTTATGTTTGCTCAGAGTTATCTCTAGATAGAAAAAAATTGAAAGTCAGTTTTTTTGCCAACTGTAATTTCACTAATAATGCTGTTGTTTTCTTTCAGTATCTAGTACTAAGACTTCAATTAATTGCTTCATAATTAATGCTAATCTGTACTGATGAAGGCAGAAAATAAAAAGGTATTGCCAAGCATGCATACTCTTTTCCCCTTTTGTAGGCTTTTAAGATTTTTAGAAAAGGTTACTCATTTGGATAGTTTAGGTACAGTGATTTAAGAACAGTTTTATGAATCTTGTCAGAAACTCTTCCTAAAGACTTCACCTCTTCTTCCCAAGTAGTTGCCTTTTATAGTGATTTAATGTCACTACATCATGTGAGAGTACTTGTCCCGATCCGATATCGGGGAGGTTTCGGTACGATCCCAAGAGCAAGATTAAGACACAAACAAGGTCAAATGCCGTATACCAGGAACAGTTCTTTTATTATGGAAAGAGTAAAAAAGAAAAGGTGAAGGTAACCGATAAGAGCGATAGAACAGGGCAGAAAAGAAAGGCAGAAAACCAAGCAAGACTCCAGGATAGAATCGCAAGAATAGTCACAGCCACGGATCCACGGTGTCTCGGTGGGGGAAAGGGGTCCAAACCTCTTGTTCTGCGACGGCAGACGAAGACGTGGGTCCACAGCGTCCCATGGACGAAGGCACGGCGCAGGTCCACAGCGTCTCGGAGGTCCATCTCGGGAGGGTCCAAACCTCTTGCTCTGTAGCGGTGGGCGAAGGCCCACCACCCTCATCTTGGCGGTCCCCTTTTATACTGGTGGTGGTCTTCACCATGGCACGTACGACACGGCTTCCACGTTCCTGCACACGCATACACACAGGTCCAGCCCCATTCTTCACACGACTGTTATCTGACTCCGTGGCGTGTGATCTGGCAAGGCGTTTTTCGAAGGTTGAAAGTCTCGACGACCCGGCAATCGTCCTTACGACCTGGCAATCGCCCGTATCATCCTTATCGCACTCAGTAGCTGGAGGGGTTTCCCGCTTGAGCAAAGCGATCTTTGAGACAAAAGTTCTTTCAGTCCGGTTTCTCACAGTACTTCATTATCAAAACTTGCTGCTTTAATCACTTCAGTATTAACAACTGGTATGCAAAAAGTATCGTGCAGTGCCATTCTAGGAATAGATAACTGTCCAAATTGCCTACTTGTCTGTTGGTGTTTTGTTTTCTGTAACTTTGTAATCTTTTGTTCTGTAACGACTGCTTTGGAGGAAATCACTGGAGCCTGAATTATTTTAGCCTCCAAACTTTTATAACTTCCACTGAAGTTTGGATTTATAAAATCATTGAACACCCAACTGGAGTTGACTTTAAAGGAAACTGACTTTTATTTTTTAAAAAAATATTGATAACTTAAAATCAAGTTTTCAAAGTAGCCTACACTATTATTAGCGTGTAACTTTTAAAGAAAATCTGTTTTCAGGCTTATATTGGTGTGAGGATTTTCCTCAGTTATTGAGATTAAATGTTAAAAACTTCAGTTTTGTCTTTTTTTTTTTTTGTTAGAGTATCATTCGTTGTGATGAAGATGAAGCCCACGTTGCATCTGTATATTGCACTGTTTGTGCCACTCACCTGTGTGCAGACTGTTCCCAACTTACTCATTCTACAAAGACACTAGCGAAACACAGGCGTGTACCTCTTGCTGATAAGCCTCATGAGAAGACCATGTGCTCCCAACACCAAGTGCATGCTATTGAATTTGTTTGTTTAGAAGAGGGTTGTCAGTCAAGTCCTCTTATGTGTTGTGTCTGCAAAGAATATGGGAAGCATCAAGGTCATAAGGTACTGATAATAATCTGTTTCTAGTCATGCCATGGAGTGGCTTGCATAATTATTTATCCAATTAAAGTACAAAAGTTTATCAAAAGAGGAGGGTAGATTCTTGATATGTCTTTATAGAAGTAACTTCATACCGTTCTTTCGTTTTCCCTTCATTTCAGATAACTGCCATGGTAAAATTACAAGAAAAAAAACCCCACATTTTTTCTATAGACCACAATAAGTTATTTATATATTAAGATGGACAGTCCCTTTATCTGCTGCTTTTTTGAACTTCTCATGGCATTAAGTCACCAGTTCTGAAAGTTGTTTTCATCATGCAAACACTAGGTTCACCCAACCTGGTGCAGTCTAACCACCCTTCTTTTTTTATAATTGATTATGGTAAACAGGCAAATTTGTATGTTTACTTGTGTAATTGCTAGATGCCTATCTGAGTCTCAACATAAAATGCAATCAGGAGTTACAGATTAGATTGCAAGTTAGTTGTAAATTCTTACTTGTCTTTCCTATATATATATATATGTCTATATAAAATATGTAGTCAAATATAAAAGATGGTTAAAGAAAGTATTTATGATTGATCTTTAATATGTTGCTTTTAATTAATAGCATTCTGTCTTGGAACCAGAAGCAAACCAGATTCGTGCATCCATTTTAGACATGGCCCACTGTATAAGAACTTTCACAGAAGAAATCTCAGATTATTCCAGAAAATTAGTTGGAATTGTTCAGCATATAGAAGGAGGAGAACAAATAGTTGAAGATGGAGTTGGAATGGCCCATACCGAACATGTATGCTTCTGCTTTTTTTTTTCCTCACTTGCACAGAATATTTGCTTTTTGTAATAACCAAGATAAGGAATTTCTTTGAAAATTCTACATAGGTTTTATAAGATGAGATCTTAAGTTCTTAGCTCTACTAAGTTAGTATTGAGGCTTAAACCAGCAGATAAGAGGAGAACTTACAGTCCATTACGATGTTTTTAGGCTATATGAAAATAGGGAGGTAGTAGGCAGTAAGGAGAGCTGTATAACTGCTATTACAATATTGAAGTACTATGTCAGATTGCACCTGTTCTTTGTGATATTATTCAGGCTTTTTCCCCTGGTCATTTTTAGTAAGGTGTGTATACATACCAATAAGCTATTTGGTTATTGGAGTAACTTCTTGGAGGATCTTGGTCTTAGGGCTGATAAGACTTTCTGTATAACTGGGACTTGAACTGTGATGTAGCCAAGCAGATATGAACATAAGTTAGAAACTGGAATAAAATGAAAAATGTACTTCTGGAATCAACTGATGTCCTTAATCCTCTGGATCTCCTGATTGCAACACTGTAGGTACCAGGGACTGCAGAGAACGCTCGCTCATGTGTCCGAGCTTATTTTTCTGATCTTCATGAAACCCTTTGTCGTCAGGAGGAAATGGCTCTTAGTGTTGTTGATGCTCACGTGAGAGAGAAGTTGATTTGGCTTAGGCAACAGCAAGAAGACATGACCATCCTCTTGTCACAGGTTTCAACAGCTTGCCTTCATTGTGAAAAAACTTTACAACAGGTAGGTTGACAAGTCAGCTGTAACATATGGCAAGATACATGGAACTGCAAATTAAGTTTAAGCTGTAAATGAAAAGGCTAGGTGGTACTCTGCGTTTTTATTTCCTTTGCAATGTTAAAACAATTACGATAACGTGAGATTGAAGTATTCATTACAAGGGAGTGTCAGACAAGGATAATCAGTACAAAACCATCAAATCCTCCAGTTGCTGGAAATCCTGTGGCATGATTCTCTTGTCTGGAGTAATTTCTGGTTATTTGTGAAGTTAGTAGGAAGAAGATATGAAACTAAAGCAAAAAACCTATGAGATTTATGGGAAGGATTTTACAGTTGCAGTTAGCAGTATAGGTGTTTGAAGATAGTTGTCATACAAGGCTGGTGGGAAAAAAGTGTTTTAAGACTAAATAAATTTTGGTAGCACTTGTAATACAGGTAATTCAACATATTAAATGTGTGAAGAAAGTGGCTATATGTGAGTATCCGATTCATCCATTATTCACTTAATTTAGTGATAGCAGGAAGTAAATAGCATATGTAGCGAACAGTAAATTGAATGTAAGAAATTACTTCATGTGTAATTTGTACTTTTTTTTTTTTTTTTTTTACTTTTGTGTAGAACTAATGTCTGGTTGCTTAGTCATATGTACTTTTAAGTATGCAAATGTTGCCATCATTAATGGGTGAATATTAATCTTTTTGTATTAAGTGTGTTGCTGTATGCTACAAAGTAGGTGCTCTATTCCAGCTGCTGGAATGATATATGAATGATATAAATATTCTTTATATATTACATTACTATCTCTTATAATTTATATTGTTATACCTACAGGACTAAGAGAGGCCAAAGAAAGTTTTTTAAAACTGCAGAACTATTTAGTATCTATTAGTATTAAGGAAGAATGATATGGCCTTCACATTTATATTGCAATTTTAAATAAATTTGTTTTGTAAATGTGAGTTTCTTTAACTAGAGTATTTCTATTTAAAATATGTTTGTCTATTTTAAGTAAGTTACTAAAAGAAAGGCATGCTTTTGTTTTCTTTGTCTGTTTAGGATGACTGCAGAGTAGTGTTGGCCAGACAGGAAATTACAAGATTGCTAGAGACATTACAGAAACAGCAGCAGCAGTTTACAGAGCTTGCAGATCACGTACAGCTGGATGCTAGCATACCTGTCACTTTTACAAAGGTATTCTTAATCTCATGAAAGTACAGCTATCCACTTTATGAAGTCCCAAATGTAATTTAAAAGAAAGCAGGAATAATATGTATTCATTAGGATTCTGTATTTGTTGCAGCAAATTTAGGCAGTTCAGTATCAGTTACAGCCACAGTGTCTTATCATATGATGAATGCCATGTGGTATTTGAGCAACAAAACTACTATGCTGTTATAGTCAGTGTGAGAAACATTTGTTTGACATTGACTACATCAGTAGCTTTGTTTGAACATTAGCTGGTTTCTTTTAAATATGTAAGATAGTGTTTGTGAATTCTAGAAACACCTTTCTTTGGAAACATCCCCGATTTGTTGTACATTCAACTCAGGAATCTACCCTTTGTTTTTCTGTGTATTTTTGTCTTTTTTTGAGAGGACAGCATAGCTTCTGCAGAGTGTTTATTATTTTATTTCCTGAAAATTACACACCTATTTTTAAATGCAATAATGCTATTATAACTTTCAGTTTATAATATTAAAAAGAATGTATTTATTTCAATTCATTAAATGATAATTTGTCATACAGTTGTTTTGTATTCACTAATAGTTTATTGTCTAAGTAGGGAGGGTTTTTTATTGCTTTAATACCATTTTAATGTGACCTATGCTGTGAAAGGGATGAAATTATTTGGAGTTTGATAATGGTGATACTTTTCATGTAGGAGAGTATGAAAGTTTGAAAGCAAGAAGTACTTTGATTTATGGGGTTTTTTGGTTCTGAATGGGTGAAAGAAGAATACGATCTATGCTGCTGAGATAAAACTGAGGGTTTAACTGTTGCTGTTGAAGCTTTTACTATAAGGAAATGGACGTTTCCATGGGCATTCTGTCCCAGTCCTTGTTGATGTCAGAAATTCAATTTCCTCCAAGTAATTTGTTTTGTGACTTTACTATATTTTAATTTCCATGTAGTAACTGCTTTGTCAGATCAATAAATGCAACACTCTCACTTCTGTCCTTCCCTTCCCTATTCAGCAGAGACCAGAGTCAGTAGGGTCAGAGACACCTCTTCTGCAAACCCCTCACTGTTCCATGAGTGAAGCAGCATTCACATTTCATAGATGATGAATTGCATTCTGTGTATTCAGAGCTGATTGATGCTGCTATCTCACAGGGCTGAGTCAGGCATTTTGGATGTCTGGTTTTGCCTTTAGGAGCTGTTAATCTGACTCAGAAAATTTTGATTGTGAATTTCTGAGCATTTGGAAAGAGAATGGTTGCAGCCAGCTAAGTTGTAATGGGAGATCTGAAATAAGTCTTGGCTTGGGGAACCCAGAAGTGTTCCAGTGTGTGTCTATACCTCAGCTTTCTTTAGAAAGAAATGGAGCTTCTATTGTTTTTCTCCTGTGACAAACTGGTATTTCCATGAAATCTTCTGAAGCTTAGATTCTAAATTTCAAAGATGCCAAAGCAAATGTCATTTGTCACAAAAACAGCAGTAGCCATGAAAATGTAAAGTGAAAATAATTACTTCAGTCTCTTTTTGTTTCCTCACTTCTGACAAAGTTTAAAGCTCTCTTTCTACACAACGTTTTTTTAGAATACTGTCGTGCCGATCGCCGCTGTTGTGACTTGTACTGAGGCTTGTTGTACCATATATGTGCCACATATAAAGCTCTGAAGGGAGGATTTTAAGAATTCCAGGACAAGATGCTGAAAACCTTTCAAGAAATGTATTAGTACATAGTATTTTTTTCCCAGATGTTGTTAGTGTGTTGTTTCCAATGGATCCTTCTTTACCAATGTATTTATGAGGACTTTGACCAAATAAGGTCGAGATGTCTTCATGTACTTAGTTTGTTTACAAGGAAATGGCTCTTTATCCAGGAGTGTGATGCTTATTTTGAGAGAGAGATTGCTTTTTTGTCTTGGTCAAACGAGACCAGTGGCTGTGGAGTGTTACATACTGAAATAGGAATTGGTTGTCCTAAATATTTATGTGTACATCCATACACATAAATGTATGGGGAGAGGGAAGATGATTAAAAAAACAGTACCTGAGATAGTAAAGAGCAGTTATCTGTTAATGTGGAAAGAAGTATGGAAAATTGCTAACCCTTACCAATGCCAAGAGTACCCAAGAAGACAGTAATCTATCAGAGGGAAAGCACTTAACGCTATCTTTAAGTAAACCTATATACAGCTTTTGTCACGTCAACAAATTTGTTAAAGACAAAGGACAGAAAACAAGAGATCACAATTGTTGTGTGGGATTTTCTTCTGCACTTTCTGTACTGAGATTTAAGAAAACACCAGGTTTTACTTGAACAGAAGTCACAGGTTACCTCTTTTTAAGTATGCTATCAAATTACACACCTGGCATAAATGCAGACACAAAGAGGTTTTACTGGCCAGATTTTTTTATGTAACATTTTTTATTGAATGTGATAATACAGTTGATGCAGAGATATTTTTTTATCTAGCAATTTCTAGCTGTGATCATCAATAGTCACTTATTTCTAACTCGTATTACAGGTGCTATATGTTGTTTTCTGAGCAGGAACTTTTCTTGCAAGGTTCTTCCTGAAGTGACAGAACTACTCACAGAAAAAGCAGAAATTTGGTGTCAGTTACAGATTGCATTTTGATTTCTTCTGAGAGAGTACATACATACTGAGAACAACCTGTTTCAACTCTAAACCTTGCAGAAAGCAAACAGCAACAGGATGGCTGAGTCTGACAGAATCATTCATCTCCTTCTCTTCCCTGATGCGTGGAGTTGCACAGGCCAGCACTGCCTCTGCTTTGCAGCCATGGGAGCTGTAGAGGTGACTTGTGCTTCTGGTGGAGCCCTGAGAGAATGGCCAGGCTGGCTCACTGGCAGCAAGCCCTGGCCATAGCCAGGGTGCTGCTTCCGGCAAGAAACCTATTATCCTGGTTTTTGGCTGGGATGGAGTTAATTTTCACAACAAGCTGGGAGGGGATATATCCAGGACAGCTGACCCAAACTAGCCAAAGGGTATTCCATACCATGACGTCGTGCTCAGGATATAAAGCAGGGAGCTGGCCCAGAAGCAGTCAGTGCTTGGGGACACGCTGGGCATTGGGTTTCAGGGCAGTGAGCAAATTGCATTGTATATCACCCACTTTGTTACAAGTATTGTTATTTTCCTCTCCCTTTGCTGTCCCAGTAAACTGTCCTTGGCCCAACGCACCAGTTTTACCTTTTTCTTCTGATTCTCCTCCCCATCCCACCGGAGGGAGAGGGGTGGAGGAGTGAGCAAGCAGCCTCAGGGTGCTGAGTTGCCAGCTGGGTCTAAACCATGACACATACAGACTGATCAGCTCTATCCAGAGCGGCCTCTTTTCCTTCCTTCCTTCTTCCTTTCAGGCGCAGGGAAGAACTGGGGAGATTCATCCCCAGAAATTTTAGACAAAATCAGAACCGAGGCTTGAGTGTGGAAAGGATGCGGAGGCATGGCATTTTTTAGACTCTTCAGTGCTTTTTGCATACTACTTTGTGTTCTGTCTCTTTGCCTGCACCTTTCCTGCTAAAAAAACAAGAATCTGCCCACAGGTTTTTTTTCTCCAGAAGGAGAGCTGTTCTGATAATATGCTGTATTGCAATGTTGGCACTGAATTTAGTACCTTCAGCTCTGAAACAAAAAATCTAGAACTTGGAGGAAATTTATTGAAAAGCAAGTAAGTGTCAATGTTTTATTTTCCAGATCTCAAATATTCAGTTAGTGCTTTAGTTTTGGAGCATCTGCCTTGTGTGGTATCAAAGCTGTAGTGCTGAAACTGCTCAGCTTGTACAAGTTTATTTCACAGATTCAAATACGGTCGTTTTTTCGCAACAGTTAGCCTGTGGAGTTCTATGCCAAGGATTTTCTGGCCCCTAAATGTCAGTGGTTTCAAGAAACAAGCAGAGATATTCATAGATCAATAATACATCAAGATCTCTTACTTGCAGAAACCGCATTGTTGGCTCAGTAAGTCCATGAGCTGCAAGGTGTTAGACACAAGGAGGGTGTTTAGGGGAGTTACCACTATGTACTTTCCCTGTTTTACTTTCACATGTATCCTTCTTTACCCAGTTTCTGACAACATACTAGATTAGATGGGACTTTTGATCTGACTCTTCTACTTACAATCATGATGTTGATGACTTTTACATTGTGGTTTGTTTTTTTAGAAACCAGTTTCTTGAGGTGTTTTTGCTCTCTTTGGAGATTACAATAGCATAAGGTCATTGATTTAATCTGTATTGATTATTCTGGCAGTATGCTACCTTGTCTGTGACAGAGGGGAGAATGGAGTTGCATGTCATGATGACATATATCCAGTTGTATAATGGATTGTGTGTGTGTCTCAAGTCACACGATGTAGATGTTTATACATCCAGTTACACTGATGCATGTTGGTCTTGTACCAGGAGCAGCTGTAGTATTTTTGCACTCAATAAATAGCATTTCTAATGCAAGAAGACATAAAAAGCTGTGTGGGGTAGACATTGGGGTTTGTGTATTGTTTGCCCTGCACAGTGCTGTCTGGATTTTGCAAGAAAACAAATGTATTGCCACATAGTTCTGATGATTAAAACTGGTATTTCATCAAGATAGCATTTCTAAGTATTTCGAAATATGTTTCAGGGATAGATAGTAAGCTTAGCCTGTGTTGTTTATTTTACAATTTACAGTTTGCTGCTTTATATTAGTAATACCACTTGATTGCATTGTTAGCGTCAGCTTGTTCAATACTCATGGTAGCTTGGTCTAACCTACAAATAGGAAGTTGATTCTCTCTCCTTGACTCAAAGCTTTGTTTTCTTCACTATTTCAGATTACTGGTTAATACTAATAATGTTGCTGTTGTAATGTGGTAAAGCATTGGAAGTTGCTTGAAGTGAAGAGGTGTGGCTATGGAGCCTCCAGCAAGGAAATAGTTCTGTAGGTGGGGGCATTGATAATGTGACAAAACATAGTGGAAAAGCTACAAAACCAACAGAGTTCTCTGGTCAGAGAATTCTAAGTAATCACTATGAACAACTTCTCATGCAGTTTAAGCCAAGAATGATGAAAGAAATTGAATTTTTTTCAAGTACAGACATACTAGCATGAGATTTGCTGTCTTTCTAAAAGGCATGTGATAACTCAGGAAGAAGTTACAGGTTCACTACAGACATTAATGGATATTTTGGTTTATATTATCGCTGGAGGTGATTGGTGATTGTGCCTTGTATTTTTGGAGTCCATCCATTTAATCACTTAACAAATAGTGACAAGTTAATTATCTTAAACATAAGGGTTTTCTAAGTTGAATTTCCTAGATTTGTTATGTGGATGCTGTTTCTTCCAGGACAACAGGGTACATATTGGACCAAAAATGGAAATTCGGGTTGTCACTCTAGGATTAGATGGAGCTGGCAAAACAACTATTTTGTTTAAGTTAAAGCAAGATGAATTCATGCAGCCAATTCCAACAATAGGTTAGTATCAACAATCTAAATGTGATGATTTTTCTGCATGTTTGACTGATCTATAGAATTTGATTATATTCATACAGAACAAGATTATAAAACTTTAGTATTTTTATTTTAGGTTTTAATGTTGAAACAGTAGAATACAAGAATTTGAAGTTTACTATTTGGGATGTAGGAGGGAAGCACAAATTGAGGCCCTTGTGGAAACATTATTATCTCAATACACAAGGTGAGGCTAATAAAACTTTTAAACTGTATTTTGTCTTCTAACTTGTATTTCAGAGCCAAAAAGATTATTAATAGACATAATTTATAATGGTAGAAAATTGTTCTTCTGATGCAAAGTACAGCCGCTAGATTCATGAGCTAAGAAATTTTAATCCAGTTGGTTATAGTGTCTGCTACATGATAAAGGTGTGTTCTCCATAAATCCATCAGACAGTTCATGGAGCCAAACAAAATTAGAATCTTTGTTAAACTGGTTCTAGCTGACAACAGACAAGGGGCAGTGTTCCAAAGTTTGCATAGTGAGAAGTAGTACTTGCCAGTACTACTGGCAAGAAGAAATATTAAATAGTGCTTGAAATTAAAATACTCAGCCTTAAGGAGCCTTTAGTTGGCAACTTGAAAAATTCTACAAAGTTCTGTAACTTCTGACTTGGTATTGCAGTGTAATATCTGGTCATAGATTAGATTACAGATTATGAAAACATTGATCTAAATGGTACCAGCTTAGAAATTCATGCTGTCCTTCTGCAAATCCTCCATAGTTGTTTTCCAGTTTAGAAAGGGGTTCCTCTTCATTAATTCATTCCAAATTTTCTGAAATACTTAGGAATGACAAACATCAGTTTCTGTGCTCCACTTTGTGCATTATTTCAGCCTTCATTGCAAACTGCAACATTTTAAATTGTCCATATTTTCAAACTTTTAAAAATTATATTGCGGGATTTCTTTTGTCCTCTTTAAAACTTACCATGTAAACACTAGTAGCATGGAATCACGTCTGCCTTGAAGAATTTTATGTTGGAGAGAAAATCGAAGCGGTTAACCTAGTGCATACCTGCAGTAAGCTTTGTTTAGTTTTGGTGTTTCTTTGCAAAATCCATGAGATTAAATTCTATCCTCTAGCTCTGCCTCCCTGACTCTCCAGTCTTTCTGGCATCTTGGTTACTCTCTGTAGTGGACAGTAAAATCTACTGCTGCTGTGTTGGGTCCATGGCAATCTTCTCTGGATTTTGTACTCTATAGCTGAAGGAAGTTGTGCCGATTTGGCTGAACGTGTAGATTTTATAGCCAGTTAAGGGAAACCAGAACAGTCATGTGGGAGTAGAGTATAAATGGATCAGGAAATGGTTTAAACTGAGATACTCAATCCACACATAGTAAATCTGGTTTTAGACCTACATAGTTAAAGTATCACAGCCTTTATGTTAGACTACACAAAAAACTTCAGCCTTTTTTTCCCAGTTGTAGGATGAATTCTAGATTTTTGTCAAAAGTATAGAGGTATGTAAGGCATTTCTCAGTCCTCCTGAAAATGAAGTTGCACACTGCTGAGAAACTTCACAGAGAAGACTGCTAGAAAAAAAAAGAATTGTGTAAATTGAAAGCTAATTTTACAGAGTTTATATGTGAATGTGTGTAAAACATTTCTCTCTCTCTCTCTTTCATAGCGGTGGTGTTTGTTGTTGATAGCAGTCACAGAGACAGGGTCAGTGAAGCACACAGTGAACTTGCAAAACTTTTAACAGAGAAGGAATTGCGGGATGCTTTGCTCTTGATCTTTGCTAATAAACAGGTACTTGAGATATTTTTTTTTCACTGTTAATTTTTCCTCAGTTTGTCTATCAATTTCCAACATTCTGAACCCTCTGCTATGGGTAGGTAATGGTAATGTGGAAAGGAGAAAATGTAGATGTTTTCTTTATGTTTAATGATGGTAAAATAAGTGATGCTAGAGTGCTTAGTAGACTCAACAACCAGTTTTTGTTTTATGGTAACAAGGAGTAAATGCATTAACTATTTGGCTTTTGTGTTTGGAAAGCTTTTATATGATCTGTAGCTTCAGTCTAAGCCATCAGTTGAAAATAAAATGCTTCAAACATAATACAGAAGAATAACTGAGTCTTTGCATCTGATTCTGTTGTAGGATGTAGCAGGTGCACTTTCAGTGGAAGAAATCACAGAACTGCTGAGTCTCCACAAACTCTGCTGTGGCCGTAGCTGGTATATTCAAGGTTGTGATGCTCGAAGTGGTACAGGACTTTATGAAGGATTGGACTGGCTTTCAAGGCAATTAGTGGCTGCTGGTGTCCTGGATGTGGCTTAATTTTAAAGCAGCTGCAATTTAAGGTTGTAGTTTACTGTTTTGTTTTGTTTGCACAATTTAGGATGTTGTAGCCAGGTCTGCTGTCTGAAGAGGGGACTTTGTTTAACTTGGTGGTTACAGAAAAATACAACCCTTTATCCTAGATTGGATAATTGGTTCAGTAAACTTGTGCAGTTGATAGTGGTTTTGAAATTTGATACAAGTAATGGAATGGGCTAGTTACAAGGGTGCCCTGAAATTCTTTTTGGTGAAATTAGGTTGTTACAATTTAAAATTCTTCCATGATAAAATATACACAGGAGTTCATCTAATAATTATAGCAAGGTTACAGTAGTTAATTGGTGTCAGAAAAATTTGAAGTGGTTTACAAATACTTTCCTAGCAAACTATTCCAAAATCCATCTCAAGTTATTAGAATAGCCAGCTCTATTAGTCAGAAATAAATGGTGTTACTCTATAATAGCTAAAGAATGCATTCATCTGAAGGTGGCATTGAAAATTACATGCAAATACACCACAAAAAGAAAATGTTTCCCACATTATTTATTAGCTTCCCTGTTTGTTACCGGAAGGCAGCCTAACTAGGCAAAGAAGACTGAGAATGGGGAACAGTGTTGCAGGACTAGGGAACTGTGGTGTTGTCTAGCTAGCCATTTTCTAGTTGAGGGGGGAGGGGTTAGTTGGGGTTTATTTATGGGCAGACTGTAGTGATATTGAGGTGAAAGTGTTTTGGGTGTGCTTGAGGACATGGTCTGCCTTTAGAGATTAAGTTTACTCCTCAAGAAGTCAAATGAAGTTTAAAATAAAAAAAAAAACTTCTTAAAGAAGTAGTGTGCTGTAATGTCAATCCAGCTATGTACTCTTATGTAGAAGTCATGCTTCCAGATTAAGGTAGTGGCCTTAAAATGGTAAATAACAATATAAAAGCAGTGTACACTAATTATAACTCTTACTTAGAAAAGCAGATGGTAAAATGTGATATAAACCTTCTGTAATTAGATTTTCAATTCTCACTGTATCTTCTACACGGAACTGTCACCAATGCCTCTGTTTTTGAAGATTACTCATTCACAAACCCATGAAATATGGGTGTAGTGCTGTTTAAATTTAGAGAAGGTTGCAATGACTGAATGATGTCTCTTTCTGGTGCACATGCACCTCTGCTAACAATTTTATCTGTCTGGTATGCACACCAGAATCTTCTGCCATCCTTTTTAATTGCACAGCCATTGCTGATTGAAGAAACCATGCCATGCACCTCTTCATGTCAGTAGAGGAGCTACAAAGAGTATGGCCAATAGATCAAAACTGCGTATTGTCACTTTTCTTACTGGAGTAGAGGTGAACTGGGAGAAGCAGACAGTGGAAGTGAGCAGTGTTGTTTCACAGGTGGGTAGATATTTTTGCCACACTGAAAAGTGTGTTTACCTGTGAGAGCTCTGAATGTCACCTGGCTGAAAATGTAACCCATTATCTATGGCTATGGCTTGTATTGTAATATTATCAATTTTACGGTGTTTTCCCACTACATACCTTACATAAAGCACAGAATGTATAAATTTAGTACATTTGCACTTTTCTTCAAGAGGAAGCAGTTAGGTAACTACTTCCTCATAATGACACTTATTTGTAGTTGTTTCTTGTTAGATTTCATTCAAATGGTGTTAAATGCAGCTTCAGATTCAGCAAGTCTGACTTGAATAGTAGCCAAAAGAACACTAAGCTTTAAAGTAGTTAAATGTTTGTGAAATGGGCTTCAATGCCTACATATATGCAAGGAACTGAGAAGGGGTATTTACTCTTTCTTCAGACAACCCGATAAATTTGGAAATAGTTTACAACGGCGTGACAGGTGTTTTCTTGCACCTATTGAACTAAAAATTGTCATCCTTCCTGGCCTGTAACTTCTTGCACAAGAGGCAGTTGGCTGCTTTGATTTGAGCACCTGCTTAGCCCGTACTGGAGAGCAGTCCCAGACCTAGTTAGGGCTGACTGTCCCTTCATAGCTCTTCTGAAAATATGAAGTTCTCCTAGGCACAGTAGATACCTTTTCCTGGAATATTTTTAACAGAGAAGACATGCATTCTGTAGAAAAATCCTGATTCTGGAATTTTATTTCAGCTGGCTTATGCTTCAGTTATATATGCCTCTCACTATAGTTCTACTTTAAAATGTTCAAGGTCACAAGTTTGGATTTTTTGTAATGTCACATTTGAAGGCAGAGGAAAAATTCTCACTTATGCATATTTTTGAGTACAAAAGATTGCTTGTGACACATGGAATGCTACCATAAAAGTGTTTTTAAATGGAATTTATTTAAGATGACTTGAAGTAACTGTGAAAGTGTTGCATTTGTCTGTGAACTCTTCAGTGTAAACAGATACACTAAGAGGTTTATTTGTATTATAAATTAATATTACATATAAACTGCTTCAGTTACAAATTTAAGCTTGTTTCACCAGTTTTAGTGAACTTTAGTTTTTAGTATACTGACTTATGCAATATGCAATTGGAATTTTTCCTCAACTAGAACTCACTCAAGCATTACTAACTATGAGGACTATTTGAAAAGATTGAGTAATTTTTCGTAGGATTTTGAGTTAATTGTGAAATTGAGTAAATACAACATCAGTAACTGTGTCGCGGCATTCTTTAAAGAATCTCAGCTCAAAAATAGTATGTCTAGACTAACTGAAAAATAACACTTTATCATTATCACTTGATATGGTCTTACTGTATGCTACCTTCAAATTTATTGTGGATGATGTGGTACCTGAGCGTCTTACTCTGAGATAGTTCTTATTCTGAACTGTTGGGAGTAGGTGTGGAAGTTATGTAAAGATTTCTTGAAAGAAAGAGCTCTTTTAGTGGAAACAGTTTATGAGCTGCTGCAGTTTGAGTTGCCCAGAAAATGAATTCTTTTCAATAAAAATATCTAAAACTTTGAAAATTAATTTTAACAAACTTGCCTTTTTTTTGTTAACCTCATCTCAGAATAGAGGTGTGCTATACCTAACTTACTATAGAATTTTTCTTACTGATCCCTGAAGATACCCCTTTACCTCCCTGAATAAAGGCTTCCTAGTGGTAGCAGCTTTTGAGGGACTGAATTTGATTAGCATGCATCATATCTAATTTCATGAATGAAGTTACCAGAACTGTAAATGCCTGAGTCTTGTATGAGGGCAGTAGCATCAATGTTAATGCTACTGTATTTAGAGTACACTTAACTATCCAACATAGTAACAGGATCGTATCTAGCCACAGATACACAACAGCTTTGTATGAGCTTTCATTGAGGACTGCATCAGAAACACCTGACATAAGCTTAGTTGAGATGACTGACGTAATTTTAAAGTATTTCAGTAGAAGTAGTAAGATAATGTTTGTAGGACTTACGGTAAAAATGAAGCCAGAAACAGACTCCCTAGGCTAAGAAAGCAAACATTACCAATATTTTTTTTTTCTTTCAATGCCAAACAAGTTGCACAGGACATTATAAACCAGTATTCCAAGAGTTTGATCATCACTCCTGGAGATGGAGACAGAAGACAGATACACAACCTTTTTTGAAGGACATAGGTAGATTACTTACCTTGTCATAGCAAACAGTGTCATAACTTAATCTAATTTTTGATGCATGTACATATGAAGAGTGTGCTCAGCTTAGGATTTCTGACCTTCTCTGACCTTCTCAAAGATTTCAAGACTGTGAGAAGGATTAATTAGGTATGAAAGATGCAAATAAACATGAAAAAGTTACAAACTATACCCTGATCCTATTTTATAAACACTATCATGAGACAGGGTGTGGGGTTTTATCTTCGGTTTTGTATAGAAGAGATGCAAGAAGAACAGTAGACCTTGTAAGAAACATGCAGATGTTTTTACTTTAAAAATACAAAGTTATCACAAATACAGACTTGGGGCACTTTAGGTACATTAAAAATAGTAGAACTGAATCCTCTGTCCTAGCACTTCTTTTATCTAGGAATTACCAAAAATGTTTCTGTTCTTTCTAGGTCGTCTTTTCGGTCTCACCATGCCAAGTTTTTTCTGCTTAAGCTGGAACCTTCAACTCCTAGCTTACTTCACTGTGATATTAATGATGCTGATATCCTCGTAGGGTTTGTCAGTTTTGGGATTGACTTTTACATTTGAGATTCTCTGAACAACTTCCATTCCTTTAGTCACCCGTCCAAACACGCTGTGCTTGTTGTCTAGCCACGGCTGTTTGAGGACACAGAAGGGGAAAGAAAAAGCATATTAAAATAGAAAGTAGCATGTAGGTTAGGTACCAAGCCAAAAAGACTGACCTAGAGTAAGTGAACATGGATACATTTTGTATGTTCAGACTATGAAACTTACCACCATGTAAATATTAGCATGTAAGTAAATATTAGAGTGTGGCTAATACATATTCTTAAGAATTTAAACACATCTTTTCATTTGTTTTCTTAAAATATTACAGAGATCAAGTTCTAGCAATGCAGTAGCATTTCATAGGTTATTTTAAAGTGTATTCTCAGTTCACAGAAATGCTAATTCAAAGTCATGTTGATACAGTATCCCAATTAGCAATCTGAATATAGATACTGATATAACTTAATAAGCCTCAAAATTGTGGTAGATGAGTGCTTTTTGAAAAAGACACATGATTTTGAAATAATAGAAGAATGCAGTATCTATAAGTATTACCATTAAGGATTTATTTGATATGTGAATCTAACAGAAAATTTTCTTTTTTTTTCTTTGATAGAAAAATACATAGATCAAAGGAAAGTACATAGATCAAAGGAAATCTTCAAACCTGAATATTGGCTTCTTTGTATAGCTGTAATTAGGCAATATTAAACAGTCACCCTGGCACCAATCCAAAAACTGCAAACAATCTAAGCAATAACTAGATTTCCAGTATATTAATATAAAATAGTCTAGTAATACACAATTGCAAACTTGTCTGATTTACTAAAAATTTGATACCACCCTTACTCCAATTAAAGCCAAAAGGTCTCTTGATCACAATTGACAAAAATACTTTTCTATTTCTTAACGGATGGTTTCACAGTATACATCGTCATATGCAGCATGTATTTGCAAAATAACAAGAAAAGATTATTTAGATAGTACTCATGTGTTCCTTTTTCCATCAGAAATAAATTTATTTTTACTATCAAGTTAGCATCTCAGGCCTTAAATTGAGTTTTTAGTATTACTTACAGTTGGCACTACTGTTACAAAAAACTGGGATCCATTGGTATTTGGTCCTGCATTAGCCATGCTGAGCGTGTATGGTCTGTCATGTCGTAAAGTTGAATGAAACTCATCTTCAAATTCTCCTCCCCAAATACTTTCTCCTCCCATTCCTGTGCCAGTTGGGTCACCAGTCTGAATCATGAAACCCTGCATAGAAAGTAAATGTTATTACATCATTGCATAGAATAAATAAGCAAAAGTGGTTTATGACAGGTGACATTTTTTTTCAAACTTACTTCAACCCTTTCAACAAAATGTGTTAAAATGCTGTGGATAAAGGACAAAGCATTCAGGACTTCTTTAATTGATAATTGAGTACTTGTGAAAAAACAAGCTTACTCACTGTTCCTGCTAGGGAAGGAAAGAAACCTGACTATCTGTACCTTCTGCAAACACTTAGGCTCTATCAGCTTGATTCTGGTGCAACAGAAATAAGAAGCCTTACAAGGAATGCCTTCTGACATGAAACAAAGTCTTCAATCAAGCAGGATTGCTGAATTGATCTTTCATTCAATTTTCAGATTTCTTCCACCTCGTCAGTTGCAGAACAACTATTAAACAACTTCAGTAAGTGATAAAGCTATTTAGAACCTCAGAGTTGTTCAGACATTACAGGCAACTCTGAGGCCATTCCAGAAATCCTTTGTGCAAAAGGGAAATGAAAGGCTTAACAGAGGACTGACCACAAAGGGACATGATCTAAACCAACAAAAAAAACCACAAACAAACAAACACCACACAAAAAAAAAGAGAGAACTTTTTATAAGGTACCTTGATGATACGGTGAAATATGTGTCCGTTGTAATAACCATTTCTGCTGTGCACACAGAAGTTTTCCACCGTTTTGGGGCACCTAAAAATCATATAACAGAAAATACAGGCTACAATAAATATTTCACTGGTGGCAAGGCCATAAAGATTTCAGATGAAACTAAGATCCTGTTGTACTGAGCAGTGTTTCAGCATGCTGTAGAAATGGCTTTTATCAAATAAAGAAAAAAAAAAATCCTCACTTCCTCAAACCCAGAGCTCGACGCAAAAAAAACTTGAGAGGAGTAGGAAGTTGCATGACTACACAGGAAGGCAGCAGCAGTCTTGATAACACAGTGAAATTTTAGTTATTGCTGAACAGTGCTTTCACACTGGCAGACAAAGTGGCTAAGCCACCCTCCATCACATTTGAGAATTCCTGACAGCCTGGTGAAGTTCCCACTGACTGGAAAAGGGGAAACATAACCATTTTTAAAAAGGGGAAATAGGAAGACCAAGGGAACTACAGGCTAGTCAGTGAGATGACAGAGCAGACCCTCCTGGAAACAATGCTCAGGCACATGGAAAATAAGGATGTGATTAGTGACAGCCAACATGGCTTCACTAAGGGCAAATAGTGCCTCATGAATTTGGTGGCCTTCTATGACAGGGTTGCAGCATTGGTCGATAAGGAAGAGTGACAGACATCATCTGCCTGGACGTGTGCAAAGCATTTGACATTGTCCTACTGTGTTGGGTTTGCATGGCAAGGTTTTGGTAGCGGGGGGGCTACAGGGGTGGCTTCTGTGAGAAGCTGCTAGAAGCTTCCCCTGTGTCCGATAGAGCCAATGCCTGATGGCTCCAAGACGAACCCGCCACTGGCCAAGGTCAAGCCCATCAGTGACGGTGGGATCACAAAAAAGCCAGCTAGACAGCATACTTTTTCAGCCAGAGAGAGGA